GGTACACCCTTTACAACAAATTTCGATATTTAATTTTTCGAGCTTTTGATTTTTCAATTTTTCGATTTTGAAATTTTTTAATGTTTGGATTTTTCGATTTTTTAATTGTTCAACTTTTCGATATTTAGATATTTTTTGATTTTTCAATTTTTCGATTTTTGAATTGTTTAACTTTTCGATTTTTGAATTGTTTAACTTTTCGATTTTATGATTTTTCCTGCCACGCTTACGTGAGAGAATATTATATTTGTCTCTATAAATGTTTTTTTTTTTGTTTAATAAAACTTGATGCAATGATCCATTGTTTTTATTTCCTATAGTTTTTAGTTGCCCAGTGTTTACTTAGTTTCTAAATATTGACTTTTACTAAAAAATACTGAATTTTGATGATACATGTGTTATAAACCTGCAGGTGTTGCTCAAAAAGCAAAGAAATAATTTTAAAATATCTAGAATATATTAATTTATATTAATTAATATTTATAGTTTCCAGTTCTGTACAGGTTTACGGACAATAAAACCTTAGTTTAGAATTCAATATATATATATATATATATATATATATATATATATATATATATATATATACACATTTTTGTATCAAGGTGAGATCCGTATATATTATAGATGACCTGAGATCCATCCCAAATGAAATAAATCTCAAAAAAAGATTATACGTAAATATAATAAAAATGTATTTTAAATCATGGTACCAACAGAGGGGTAAGGTAAAACTTGTTTTTTTTATACATGAACTATGTGTTACAAACAGAGATCCTTTATAAACAGACGTTAGTTGAGATCCGAGGCTGTATATAGATAAATATATTAGACAAAATGAGATCCAGCTGTGTTGCCAGATTTTTGCATATATTTGCAATCATTAATTTTACGTGTTTATTTATCTGTTTCCAAATGTGATGTATTGACATTTTTAAAGTGGGTATAGTTAAAAAAAAGAAATAGCCAATATGTCATGTTCTAGAAAAATATTTACAAAATATTTATTTTCTTATCTGGTTCAAGTATAATTTGAAGAGAATCAGCCACATTTTATTATAATCTTAATAGGATCAAACTTTCATCATATTTTTTTAAAGATATAAAATTATGGTTAAAAAATATGAATTACTTAATTCTAGGTAGATTTTAGACACTTATATTAAATAGCATAAATGGAATAATTTGGAAAAGTAGATTTAAAGTTGGACCAGACTGTCATTTTTCTGAATGTGTTTTTTTTAATGTCTTTTTTAATGATGCTGGGATGTTCTCATATTTCTACAATTTCGGCATAAGTTAGATACTGCGGTTATTATTGATGTTAAAATAAACATGGCCATTTAATTCCTGAAAGTTACTCACTATGGTACTCAGCTTGCAAATAAAAAAATAAATAATCTGAAATGGCAGATTAAATAGCCGGGACCGTTGATAATTTTTCGAATTAATCTTTAGATTTGGTTAGTTTGGTGTAGTGTGTAGTTAGTTGCTCTTAAGATCTACCAAAATGTCGCGCAGAGGACAGCTAATGTTAGATATTTTAAACATAAATAATGGCAAAGGTAAGTAAAAAATTTATTTTTTAAATAAGTAATTACATTTCATTTTTGGCAAAAGATAAACAAGTCAAAACGGTATATTTTTAAAAAATTTCATTAATAAAATCTATAATGCATAACCAACCCGCATATAAACTATAGTTCATTATAATAAATTTACAACTATTTAAAGATTATGCTACTCATTTTTACCTTTTCAAAATACTATCAGTCGATTTAAAAAGTTTAAGAATTTCATAATTTTGACTTTAGATTCTTATAAAATATCAAAAAGTAAAATATGATTGTATAATAAAGTCAACATGGGCCCTAAATTCTAAAACAATATTTGGCAATTTTCATTTAAACTTTCAATTCTTAAAAAATAGGATTTTTAAAAAATTCAAGTTTACAAAATAATAAATTAGTAATCAATTAAAAATTAATAAGTTTATTTGGTAAAAAGATTTTAGGACTCCCTGGTACTAATATTCCCTTATTGAGAAGGATTTTGATATCATATTTATAATTAAAACAGTTGAAGTTAAGGGTTGAAAATTAATCTTCTATATGTTAGAACATGGGGTGATCTAATAATATAAAAAAAAACACTAAAAATGTCGTGAATTTTGTTTAGGTTTATAATTAAAAACTCGTCCTAAAGTACGTGAATTAAATTTTAGACGATAAAACCGGCAAAGAACGTGGAAAAATAGAGAAGGAAACTTCAAACAAAAAAAATGAATATGAGTTTTCTGAACAAGAAGATCCGTGGTATGAATATAAAGAATGGAAAGAAACGAGAGATAAATCAGCTGCTGAAAAATCGATAGTGAGTCAATTTAATGTATTTAATTAAACAACTACATTTAAATCGACAATTTTTAATATTGATAATCGAAAAAAAAAATTCTTGATAGGAAAAAATATAGCAGGTTAAATATATTAAAAACTCGGGCAGGTAGGTTATAATTTCTAATTACACATGTTTTTCTAATAAAAAGTTTAACATTGTGTTAGGTATCCACTTGCGTGGGGTAAGTACCCTGTCTAAAATTTTAAATAGTAGGGGAATCGTGTGATAGCTCGTTTGAACAGCTCTTCAATTCTCTATTCAAATATGCAAAAAAATTTCTTCATTATTTTTGAATTATTTAAATTTTAATTTTAAAATAAACTGAATAACAAAATAATCACGTTACTCGTTTATTACTATTATTGTCAGTTTCGAGTGCCAAAAAGTGAAATTTTAGTCTTACATCAAATAAATGAAGTATCTATGTTAAAATATTGATATCCCTCGTATTTACTTTATTTATTTTATTTTACGATTAGGTATTATATTAAATGTTCTTCATTAACTTCTTGACAATAAAGAAGCCTGTTTAAGAAATGTCTTCTGACATTACCTAGCATTTCTGGAGTTATATTGTATTCCAAGAAAGATATTAGTTTTGCAAAAAAAAACAAACATGATGATTTTTTCAGGATTGCTTCTTCTAAGTGTCCAATTAAAAGAACATTCGAACTCCTGGTACGAGTTGTTCTATAAGGGTATTTTCCTAAACATTGCTTTAGAGAAAACTAGCCTATATGAAAGTTGTAGAATACAAATTCTAAAATTTTTTTATGTATAAACATTTTTTGTATCTTTCAAACTTAACGAGTTAAAGCGCATTAAATCACAAAAATTCCGCACCCATTATGGGAGTAATTTCCTAATTTTCAATCAGCAGTAAGTCTCTAAAAAAGGTCAGTAATGGCAGGGGCGCAAAGGGGGGTTCCATGAACCGCCACATCGCCCCCTAAACTTCAACAAATTTAAGTAAAAGCATTTGCTTAACTTTTGTACATTTGACCCAAACGGGTCGATTTTGTTTGCAAAAGCAATATTGGTATGGAGCTAAGTTCAAAAAATATTGCTATCATAGCAAGATTTGCAGAATACCGTATTCTTATCGTCGATTTTAAACAGTATGATCTGTCATTTTTTAATTGATCTTGATGCCCAAGCTTGTTACCTGAGCAAGTCCCTTTTTGTACTTGGTAGCCGGGCAACAAGATGGTTATCTTATCATTATTTAGAAATGGCCATTATTTTATCACATTTTTTAAACGATTTTGAAATATAGCCAGCAGGTACATATTTTTAGTAAAACTATTTACTTTGTTGCAAATAATTAATGGTTACTTATTTAACTTTAAGAGAAATCACGTAACTGGAATTCCGAAATATCAAATATCAGGGATTAGATTTAAATTTAACTAGGACTGAGTGTGCCTTCTCCACATCAACCTTTTTATATCTATTGTGGATATATTTTGATCATTATTAGAGCACTGATAGTTTCCCATTTTCTGATAGACTCCATATATCAAAAGGTACCTTTTCTGTGTACTTAGTTGCACTTGGTTTTTCTTGTCAAAATGTAAGAAATCTCAGCCACAGACCTTCGTAGTTAGTACTCATGAAGGAAGGATAGTACTGCAATTTTTTGGTCTTCCTGACATAATCGACAGATTACTACCAGGGATAATAGTATAATCATTTTTAGCTAGGGAAAAATGTATTTTACTGACTTCCAAAATGGCTAATAATCATTATTGGATTCCAATTTTTTAGAAAAATGTTTTATGAACAAAAAAAATATAAATTTTGATCTCAATATTGTTTTATGACAAGCTTTGCTAGAGTTTTATGTACAGTAGTAAGAGCTTTATGGAAAGTTATGTATTCACAGAAATGTAAATTTCTTAAATTTATCAGTATTTATTTAGCGAGAAAATGCTTTTAATCAGTGACTATTTTATGAAATATTTTTTTTTTTAAGTAGTTGAAGTAGAAATATTTGAATAAAAATCAATCAATTACTGATTATGTTTATATAGGAGTGATCACATCAGAAGCCATAAGAGTTTTGTCTGTTATTTTCAATACGCATAGGATATTTGCGCGTGTTGCAAAATCTGTGATTTTTTTTTACATTTTTCGATATAAAATTAAGAGCTCTTTTTAATTAGCTATCGTAAAAACCCTTTGGTAATTATAATTTTTAAGAGGATAACTATCTCGTAGAAGGGGATGTCACAAAGATAGTTTTTTTGTTATAGAAATGTGCTTCGTTTAAATATAAAAATCGACCTGTCCGAGCATTTTCTCGAATATGTTACCACTGCATAACGGTAACATTGTTAGCAATGTTATTCAAAGAAGCTTGAATTAAAAGTTCCTAATTATTGGGACCTTCAAAATATTACTTAATGATTTGTGATTCTGGTAATTTAAAAATATATAGAAAAAATATTGGATGTGTTTCGAAAATATTGGGTGTGTTTAGAAAAAGCATCTGATTGATAATTAATCAAACGTATAAGTCAATGTTAAAGGTTTTATTTAAATTAACGAAATTTAAAATTTAAAAAATAAAAAGGAAATGAACATTTAAAATATTTGTGAGTTAGAAATATTTTCATGGTTAATGAGTAATAAAAATATTTGAACTAATAATGATTAATCCTAAAGCAGCATTTACAATGAGTCTCCAGGCAGAGTTGTATTTTCGAAGTAATATACTTTATACAAATTAAATGACAAATTGTATTCTTTATTATAGATTTGTTTGGGTAACTGTCAGTATTAAATCTAGTATGGTAAAAATATTTCAACTAATTTCTTATCAAAAAATTAAAACTTAAAATCAGATAAAAATAAGATAGAACATTCTACATTCCGATTGGGTTAAAAAACGCGAGATCAATATTTTTATTTTTAGGCAATATTTTTAATTTTACAAATTTAGAATGTATATACCACAAATAAAACTGTTTTATATAAATTTTTTAGTTGAAAAAGTCTGAAACAGACTCTGAAGAGGCCAGTTACAAGACATCATCGGTAATAAAAAAATAAAGTAAATAAAACAATTTTTTCTTATACCTATGTATTTCTAGGTGAGTTGGATTCCACCTAGTATTGAAAGCAGCGACAGTTTTACTACGGAAAGTACAGAAAGTAAATCGAAACAATTTTATCCAAATAAAATTATCAGTAATTGTGAATTATTATTGGTAAGTATAACCAACTAACAAATTAATTTAATAAAATATTTTATCTCCTTCTTTATTGTATAAAAACGACATAGTTTGCATTTCCTGTACTTTATAAACTTAAAAAAAATATCAATATTATTTTTCGGTCATTTTAAATCTGGAAAAAGCCAATTTTTCTTACGAAAATTATATAATGTCGCAATTCGATAGCAAAAAAAAAATGCATCAAGCCAAAACGAAATTATTTTTTATTTTAGGAATCTCCAAATTTAAAAAAGACAGTTAGTAGTGCGAACGATAAGCAAAAAAGTAATGAAAGCGGTGAAGTAGAAACAGAAAATGTTTTTACATTTAAAGAAAATTACATAGAAAACCATCCTGAAATAGAAACAGAAAATAGGTCTAAACCTGAAGAAAATATCAATACTGAAGTAGGAATAGAAAAAAGCTCTATTCCTAAAGAAAATTACATAGAAAATAACAATGCTGAGGTAGAAACAGTTTCTAAAAACAATAAAAGAAGAGAAATGAAGGATAAGGAAAATCCTAACCAAGATCAAAATAAAATAATAAATAAAAATGTATCTACAATTAGAAAATATGTTCCGATTGATGTAATGGTAATAATATTCGTTAACATAAACTTATTGCTTTTTATAAATGTATATTTTTTTTTAGAATTCTGGTCATAAAATAGAAGTAAGTCACCGAGAAGCACGTATTTGGGATAAAAGAGATCGTTGTCCATATTGCAATTTAGATGTGACAAACTTCTCCAGGCATTTATTTCGGAAGCACCCTCAAGAAGAAAGTGTAGCTAAAATAGAAGAAATTTCTAAAGGCAATCCAAGAAGAAAACAGATGATCGAATTATTAAGAAAACAAGGGAATTTTTCTCTATACTCTGAAAATATAATACGGCCCGTTCAAAGATTATCTTCAACAAATTTTAAAGATGATTTGACATTTTTGCCCTGCACATATTGCAAGGGATTATATAGAAAAACCTCCCTTTTAGTCCAAGAGCCCACTGCAAATTTGGACCGTCATCTGATAACGAAATGAAATATGCTTCAGAGGCATGTAAAAATATTGTACTTTACCAAACGGCACCTGTGCCTATCATTATCCTGAGCAAAATAGTTGAAACAATGGCACTTCCGGTGTCATAATTATCGAGAAATGTCGTCATTTGATAACGAGATAAGACTTATGCCATCGGATAGCTATTCATTAATAGAACTTAAAAATGTACCTGTGCCACCTCTTTTCCTGAGCCAAACGCTTGGCACGGCCTATTTATTCAGCCAAAATTCTCGATAAACTTCCGTCATGTGATAACGAGTCAAAACAATATGCAATCGAAGGGGCATAATGTCCCATTCAGGAATATCCACATGTGCCACGTTTTAACCTGAGCTAAGTTGCTGGCACAGCGTAATTTCTGAGACGCACCTCTCCCAACTAATTTATTTCATATATAAAAAAAATCACATAAGCCATGACAACGAAAATTATTTGTATTGAAAATTACAATCCAAATAATTAATTGTAAACTTATTACTGAAGCCTTGGTTTGTATCATAATTTTATAGGCTTTTTAACAGACTTAATAGGAGGAGATACTCATATCGTTAGAATATTTTATGTTTTTGTATGTTCACTGATAAATCTATACCACGTTGTCCGATTTCTATGATTCTTTTTTTGTTAGAAAAGTGAACACCGGGCTAGTCATAATATATAAATTTGGTCAACATCTGATGATAGGATACACGAAAAAATAATTAAGTTCTTCGAATAATAAAGAAAGGTTTTTAAAATTACTTTTGTTAATATACAGGTTCATTATTTAACAGAATATCTTAATAGGTATTTATTTAGATATATTTTATTAGGTACTTTTTATATTTCTAAAAAAGTGTAACTACAAATTTACAAGTATTATAAATTAAAAATTTCAAAAAAAACCGACTTCAAAAACGTGCAGATGCCGTCACCACATCTTAAATACATAAAAATGAAGAATTTGAGGAGTTTTTCACGGACCCAATTATTATATTTTGACCAAATTTATATGAGACCACCCCTGAAGTACCCTCTTTCTGACAAAAAAAGAATTATTGAAATCGGACACCGCGTTGAAGAATTATCGCTGAACATACATAAAAAAAAAATATCGCGACGAATTGAGACCTCCTCCTTTTTTGAAGTCTGTTACAAGTATTAGAAATTAAAAATTTAAAAAAACCGACTTCAAAAACGTGCAGATGCCATCACCACATATTAACCAAATTTATATGGAACCACCCCTGAGGTACCCCCTTACTAACAAAAAAAGAATCATATAAATCGGCCAAGTTGGTAAAGCATTATCGCTAAACATACATAAAAAATGAAGATTTTGAGGATTTTCTCATGGACCCAATTATTAGATTTTGACCAAATTTATATGGGACCACCCCTGAAGTAGCCCCTTTCTAAAGAATTATCGCTGAACATACATAAAAAAAATATCGCGACGAATTGATAACCTCCTCCTTTTTTGAATTCGGTTAAAAAATAGAATTCAATACGACGATGATATCTGTCAAATATCTGACAAATATCTATCAAAAACTAAATGTATTTCCGATGCATCTTCACCACAAATCTTTCGCAATACATGTTCAGTTATTTTTCCAAAAGTTTTTCCAAAACGTTTAGGAAATAAAAGCCATGATTTCAATATGATTTTTAGGAGGTATGGAAAGATTTACGTTGGCTGTAAGATGTTTCCCCAGTGCTGCTTTCGGAGTTCTGTGCATATTTCCATTGCATTGAACAAGTGCTGGAGGCGCAGGGGCTAATGGATATGAAAAACATATTTCCATATCAATTTTTTTATCAGTGCAATGGATAGAAGACGGCCAAAGACGTTTCTTTCCATTTGAATTAAGACTTGCTTACCATCCGAACTTTTTTAATGCAATCTGAAGCAGAATTCAAAACTGTGTTTCTTTTAATTGGTTTTTCAAAGCGATCAGGCGAACTTGCACATTCTTCCAGAAATTGCAACTTCTGTTGGTGACCCATTGTGCTTGCATTGGTCAAAAAATCGCAAACTTTGGGAGAAACTGCTTTTCCTGTTACAATATGAAACAAACAATCTTTGTTAAGCTTTGATCAAATGGATTCATATTTTGTTCTAACATTGTTTGAATTGCATTCAGCGCATTCGTATCTTTTTCAATCAGGTTTTTTCCAAATGGTGGGAAACGTCATCTTTCTGAGACATTCACATCTTCTCAAGCAGATGAGAAATTACCTTTGTTGTGAGTTGTGAAATGAGTTATTCCAGTCAATGAATTGGATGCTACAGCATTCACTGTTTGTTCTAAAGTAAGATCTACCAGAGATCTAGCTTACGATTTTCCCGTTCGTTTAACCCCGAAAGCACCACGTTTAAATTCATGTAAGAGAGACAAATTGTCCACTTTTAAAGACACCAGATTACTCAAGTACTTTAGAGATCAATGTGCACAGTTCGACGTACTGTAAATAGAATTGCCCAGTTTTTCCGTGATATCCTGTTAGAATTAGTGAACAGAAATCTTTGTATTTCCTAATAATTTCTTTTAAAAGAGGATACAATATCAACGGTTTATGAGATGGAACAGGAAGTTCAAAAACAACTTGTAGATCAGAAATGAAACTATCCTCAGAAAAAGCTCTTTCTGACATAAATAAATCAAAATGCGACATCTAAAGAGCACCTGCAAGAATAGGGTGAATTCTTTTACACCTATTAAAGTTTTTAGACTCGATAAATCCGTTTACAGAACCTGCTGCTAAAACCTCGAGATTCTGTTAAAATATCTACGATTCCGCAACCATCAATAAATTTACCAACAGCTTTGAAAAAAGCTAATTGCATATGAAAGCCTCCTAAATTGATAAATAAACCATTAAATTTTGGATTTTCCACACTTTGAATGTGCATTGCCATTTTCGCGATGGCTAGATCATAAGTTACGATGATCTGGTCTTGATGGCATTGATCGGCTACTTCTTTGACTATGGCCAAAGTTTCATAAACGATATTATAGAACGTAGGAGACGAATTTATTGACGGCATGTAATCAATGTTCTGCTCTTCACTACAATCAACAATTACTGACGAATTGTACCCTACCCACATTGGTACCTGGTCGAGATGTAAAAGATAAAAAATCCATAACATATCTCTTATAATGGCACGCTCTCTTGAGATGTTGCAGTTGCCTACAGTCTCCAGTACAACGTCAGACGATAACAATGACAACGTCGCCTTACGCTTCTAATAAGGTTTCATAACACGCAGAGTTTCTTCAAATTTGCGTCTTTTACAAGACTTACTCTCTGCAGCAATATTGCTATCGTTCAGAGAGGTTTGCTCTGTACTATGAGATGTTGCAGCAAGTTACATGGTATCATCAGTTTTCGAAGATAATTGATATGCCCACCGTATCATGGAGAGTATCTTTACCCGTAACAGTACCAACAAATCTGTCAAAGTTATCAAATGCCAGATGTATTGAGAGTCCATCAGTGACTAGAATACTAGGGGGTATTGATTTTTCTTCTAGGGCCGTAAAAGCGAGCTGTCTCAATCTCTTCAGCCATAGAATAACCCACAGTATACCCGTACTTAATTAGAAAGGTCAATACTTTTCTGCTACTAGTCCAAGATTGTATCGCTAATCCAAGACTTAGGTGTTTCGAAGGTTTTATTCTTCTCTTTGTTGTAGCATAAATGATGTCGCTGCAAATTGAATTTATTCGAAAGAGATTATCATCAGATTGTAGCCTAGGCACGTCAGGGCCGTGAATCAAATTGTAAATGAGATTAAAAAAACCAACAGGAATATCGCACTCCCTATCAGTGATATTAGAAAAGTGAAACTTTTCAGGAAGTTTTCTTTTGTTTATTGCTTTTACAGATCATAAAAAACATGTATCCATAAATAATAAGAACTATTAACAAAATGAATCAATTAATTTTTGATAATTTCAATATTTATTTGTTTACTAAATGTTGTGATTCATTATTACAGGTTGTCATAAAAACGTCAAAAAACTGCCTATTATGATTATAGTTTGAAGGATAAAATTTAATATTTCAGGTTTAAAAAATTAATGCTGTACCTATTTAATTCTATTTTACAATAGTTTACTTGTTTAGATGGATATAAATAGTAATCAAATTTATCTGAATAAATACCTATTAAGTTATTTTGGTAAATAATAATACTGTATATTGATAATTATTAACAAGTTATAAAAGTAATTTTAAAAAACAAACTCCTAAATCGTACAGTTGCCTTTGCAAATTGAATAGTTTGATAATTTTCTCGTGTATCCTATCATCAGATCTTGACCAAATTTATATGTGACCACCACTGAGGTATCCTCTTTCTAACAAAAAAAATCATAAAAATCAAACAACGTGGTATAGAATTATCGCTGAACATACATAAAAAAAAATACATTCCGACGATTTGAGAACCTTCTTCTTAATTTTAAGTCTGTAAAAAAGTATATAAAATTGGAATACAAATCAAGGATTCACTAATAGGTTTAAAATTAATTATTAGGATTGTAATTTTCAATACAAATACCTAATTTTCGTTTTCATGGCTTATGTGATTTTTTGTATATATGAAATTAATTAGTTGGGGAAGGCGCGTCTCAGAAATTACGCTGTGCCAGCAACTTAGCTCAGGTTAAAACGTGGCACATGCGGATATTCCTGAATGGGACATTATGCCCCTTCGATTGCATATTGTTTTAACTCGTTATCACATGACGGAAGTTTGTCGAGAATTTTAGCTGAATAAATAGGCCGTGCCAAGCATTTGGCTCAGGAAAAGAGGTGGCACAGGTACATTTTTAAGTTCTATAAATCAATAGCTATCCGATGGCATAAGTCTTATCTCGTTATCAAATGACGACATTTCTCGCTAATTATGACACCGGAAGTGCCATTGTTTTAACCATTTTGCTCAGGATAGTGCTAGGCACAGGTACCGTTTGGTAAAGTACAATATTTTTACATGCCTTTTGAGCATATTTCATTTCGTTATCAGATGACGGTCGAAATTTGCAGTGGGCTCTCCTACTATTTCGAGACATGCTAAAATTTGTGTTTTTAATAATAAAAATAAAAGCACTGTCAGGCGATACCCAAGTGAAGCTCAGACCCTGCTTGCATTTACAGAATCAAGAAAACCATTTTTAGATCAACTACGTTTGAAAAACGAAGTATTTCAAACAATGCATGCGGATCGAATTTCTTTAATTAGTAAAGGTGATCCCATAATATGCCAATATGGAGATGATTATTTAAAAAAACATAAACGGCCTCATATTAAAAATTTAGTTAGCAACAAGATGAGAGAAATGGGAAGGCTGTTAATACATTTAAAGGATGTGTATAATATACAGTCAATTTTGGAGACATTAAAACCGCAACATTTTGACAAAGTGGTTTCAGCAGCTAGAATTACAGCAGGTTATTGCGAATTAACAAAACAATTTAGGGCACCTTCTTTAGCTTCTCATTATCATACAAACTTATTAGCTATTTGTTCAACGGCAACCACATTGCTACTAAAACAAAATCCAATCCTTCCAGTAAAAAACTACAGTGAAACATTAAAAGATGTTGATAATTTTCGTACTTTAGTCAAATCGAACTGGAAGTTTGAAATGGGGAGTTTAGCCATTAAGGATTTAACCGAAAAACATGCCCTTACACCACAAATATTACCCGTAACCGAAGATGTCGTATTATTTAATAATCACTGTTACAAAATAGCTGACGAATCTGCAAATCATCTTCAAAATAATTTGGAGAACATTGACGCGTTTAAAACTCTCTCAGAAACTATTTTAGCTCTGACTATATCGTTAAATCGAAAAAGGGTAGGAGACGTGCAGTATATAAAACTGGAATCATATCAAAGTACAACACAAAAGACAGTGGATTGCCTTGGAGTTTTAACAGAATGCGAAAAAGCACTAACAAGTCATTTCAAACGAATCATAACTATAGGAAAAGGAAGTAAACCTGTTCCAATACTTTTCCCGAAGAAAATACAAGGTTATATTGAGGTGATGTTAAAATGCAGAAATAGCACAACTTTTATTCCAAAGGAAAATCCATTTTTGTTTGCTTTGGTGGGCAGTATATCAAGATGGATAGATGCTTCTAGAGTCTTAAAAAAATATGCAATTTCTTCCGGAGCAAAAAATCCTGAAACAATTACGTCCTCCCGCTTAAGAAAGCAAATAGCTACTTTTCTGCAAATTTTAAGCCTTAGTGAGGCAGAAATGGAACAAATGGCTACGTTCATGGGCCACACCAAGAAAACTCACGAAGAATTTTACAGGTATAATTATATTCATTTGTTATTTTTAGTTTTTTTATTGTTTTTACTAAAAAAATTACAGATTACCGCAGGAACTTTATCAAACATCAAAAATTGCCAAGTTATTACTCACTATGATGAATAAAGGAATAAGTAAACAAGATCAAGGAAAAACCATCAATGAGCTAGATATTGCATTAAACACGTGGGAGACAAATGAAGCTGAAGTAACTCAGTCAGGTATGTTAAAGTAAAACTTTAAAGATCGTTTCAGGAAAGTTGGACAATATCTGAGGAGCACAAAATACATCAAGATATTTCTTAATTAAAATTGTAGTTAAAGAAGCAGCAAGTAATTGTAAAACCTACAGCAAACATTTATTGAAAATTTGTTTTTTTTTTCACGTACAGATATCACAATATTTTCGTTAATTATATTTATTTCATTTTTAACAGCCTAAAGTTTTTTTGATTAGTTTTTCATAATTAAAATGTTTCAAGAAATTTCTTGTGCTAATCATATAAGTTGTTTTCTCCTTTTTAAATTGAATAGATTTCTTTGTGGATATAATAATTATTTAAACAAAACATCTGTAAAAAGATGAACAAAAAGGCTTTCACAAGTTATCTTGCCTTGGTTCTTTTGAAATAAAAATATGATGTATACGTAAAAAACCTTATCTCACCATTTTTGGTAATAGTTTATAATTAATTTTTAGGTGCGGTTATGAGTCCAGAAACAGAGGGAAATGATCCTGTATCTAGTAACACCAAAAATGATGAGACAGAAGTTTCCTTAAATATGGATTTACATCTGCCAGAAAAAACCAAATATGTAGGCAAGGAAAAAAGAACCAGAGGGACGTGGACGTCTAAACAAAAACAGATTTTGTTGAAATATTTTAAAAATCAAATCAACAATAAAGTCACTCCCAGAAAGAGTGACTGTTTGAAATTTAAAGAAAAAAATTTGGAAGTATTTGAAGAAAAGACTTGGTTACAAATTAAAGTATTTGTATACAACAGCTTTAAAAACACGAAATAATTTAATAAATTGCAAAAAGAGACTCTAAAAAATCTATGCTGAAACTATTCCTTTCCCAAAAAGGAATAGTTTTAGCACAGGTTTGTTTAGGCATCCGCAGTTAAAAAGAAACAATAGATCATTTTTTAATTGTTTTTGTTACCAATAAAATATTTTTTATCTCCTAAATTTCATATAACAAAAATATTTTGTACATAAATGAAAAAATATTTTTATGTTATTTTTAGTTAAAAAACAGTTTTCACGCGACCACCATCTATAATTGTCTACAAAAAAAATGCCCAATGAAATAATTTACTCTTTTATTTACCAACTTAAATTCAACTAAAGATAATTTAGAACGCGTAATGATACTACCTCAAAGTACGTATATTTTCTTTAATTTAATATTTTAATCGAGAAGAATTATCTTGAAAAATTATCACTATATTAAAAATTTCAAAATAAAGGAATACATTTTTTTATCAAGCCTATGAATCATAACTCTGGCCATTAAACTTCTTGGCTGATAGAGATAAAGATGCCCAAATATAAACAATTTAATTTTGTGACAAAATAATTAGTCATCGTTTTCGTGATATCCAGTTCATTTCGTGTAAAATACAGAGTGGGCCAACGAAAACGAAACGGTTCAAGTTTAGGGTTCCTAATGTCATTAAAAAAAATTGCTTGAAAACGTTAATGTATTTCTCAAGGGTGAAACTCTTTAAACGTATTTCCAAATCCCCTATCTTTAACCCCTTGAACAGTGTGCTGTACACCCCTAAACTCTTAAATGGAAAGTTTGGTTCGAGTGATACATCATTTAAAAGGTAATTTTATCAGGGAAAAAAGTATTATGTGATCCAAAGTGTGACACCTCACTGAGACCTAATTTTATTAGTAATTTAATGGACATCCAAAATAAATCAAAAATAAACCTAAATAAAAATTAAATATTGCAGGGTGCTAACATTACACAAATTTAATTTTGTTACGAGTGCAATATGGAGATATTTAGGTTAAAGTTATATGGTCCATTGAATTACTAATAAAATTAGCTCTCGTATGAGGTGTAACACTTTGGATTACAAAACACTTTCTTCCCCTCCCGTCAAGTGGGGGCAAAATCAAGATTTTGGGGTATACGAACCAATACTGCTGCATTCCTCATAAAATTACCTTCAAATGATGTATTACTCGACCCAACTTTCCACTTAAAATTTTAGGGGTGTACAGCACCTTGCTCAAGGTGTTAAATATAGGGGTTTGAAAATAAGTCTAAAGGGATTTCCCCTTCACAAATAATAAATCAAAATTTACTTGAAAGTATTTGAAAACAACAAATAACAAAATAAAATTTCTACCCCCGAAAAACGATGAAAAAAAATAAAATAAAGTGTTTTTTAAAGATTATTTAAAATAGGTAGGAGCTAAAACAAAAGTTCCTAATGAAAGTTATAGAACATGAATTTTACATAAAAATTGTATTTTTTTTTCTATTATTGAAATTAACAGAGTTAGGGTGGTCAGAAGTTAAGGGAACGTATGCACAACTTTAAAAAATCATAGCAAGCTGAAAAACGAATGAATTTTAATTTTTTTTAATATTTACTCACATAAATATAAACTTTCTTTTCAGAGATTTTTTTTATACTTTTAATAAAAAAAGTTATAACAATTTTAATTTTGTAATTTTCAAGTTTAAGCGATGAAATGTTAAGACAAGACATGTACAACTTTAAAAAACCATAGCGAGCTGAAAATTTAATGAATTTTAATTTTTATTTTAATATTTACTCACAAATATATTAACTTTCTTTTCAGAGAAAAAGATTTTTTTAATTTTTGTTAAAAAAGTTATAACAATCAATTTTGAAAAAAAAAATTAAAATTCATTCGTTTTTCAGCTTGCTATGATTTTTAACATACCTTCCCTTAACTTCTAACCACCCTAACTCTGTTAATTTTAATAATAATAAAAAAAATAAAATACAATTTTTATGTAAAATTTCATCTTCTAAAACTTTTATCCGGAACTATTTTTTAGCTCCTACCTATTTTGAATAATCTTTAAAAAACAATTTATTTTATATTCTACTTACTTTAATACTTTACTTATCTTTAAGCTGCTCATAACCATTCTCTTATTTCTTGACCGGAATAATAGTAGGAAATTAGTACCTAGTTCCAAAAGATAAATATAATATACTGTAACACGTTTTTTTTTGTTTGTTTATTTTTGAGATCAAATTTTAAAGAATTTCATCAAATATCTGTGTTTTTGATCAATATTCATGTATTTTTTGAAATTATTACAAAAACATATGAAGAAACAAATAAAATGGCAAAAATGGATCTTGTGTATTTATTTCTCGTCTTTGATCTAAATATTAAATATTACAATGTTTTAATTATAGTCTAGTTCACAAGGTCTAAAACGTGTTGACAAAGCTCAAAAACCTAATATAAATGAGTTCTTATTGAATTCGGAATGACGCCTAGAAAAAATTGCAAAAGTTTCAAACTCGCATATAAACAATATTGCAAAAAATTGTAAACAGATTAAGATTCAAAAAATGACGAATTTCGTTTTGCAAATAATAAAATATTGATAGTATTTATGAAATTTTAAAAATTAAACTCCTGGAACACTATCTAAACTTTTGAACATATTTTTTTTCGTCACTCCGAATTCATTGACCCCTAACTTATATGTTTACGTCTGCTTTAATATGAATTCTGTAAAAAATATTTCAACAAATATAAAACACCCGACGTTTATACGAAAGTAAATTCAAATTAATATAAATATCTTTATTAATTTTTTAAAAATTAAAAAATCCTTTTGTTATTTTTTAATACAAATTTTAAATTTACTGTTAGCCAACGGTTCAAGAAAAAATACAAATACAAAATATTTTTGTATTTATTAAAAATATGAAATATTTTTTAAGGATTTAATAATAAAATTATAATATTTTACATATAAATATGCCCTTTTTATAATATAATTTAATATAAGAAAACATAGTATACACATAATATGATTTTTTACCTAAAAGAGCAGAGCATAGTGTCACATTCGAGCGAAAATTAGCTCAATTTTTTTGATCATGTCAGGGAAGTTCTTTTGATTATAAAAGTGTAACATGATATCTCTTGATGTTATTGTTTAAACAAGTGAAAACTAAACAAATTGCAAAAAAAATTTTTTGCAGTAATTAAATTTTTATTAAAATCTTTAATTAATTTTGATTATTATAACGTCTTCAATTATTGCTATAAATTTTTTAAGTTTAAAATTGCTGAAAATCAAGGCTTCATCCAATTAAATATTATGCTTTAGAAATAGTTATATTATAATTTTTAATTTTTTATCAAATTTTTAAACAATCATTAACGTTACAGTCTATTCAAATTCTGAATTACTTTTTTTACTCTATATTTTATGCTTTGTAACAATATTCTCTTTACGCGCATACGCTTTCAAGAGAGAAGTATAATATGAAACAACTGAACGAAGAAGTGAAGAGTTACAAAAATAATTATTAAAGGAAAAGTTTTTATATCATTTTATTATTGTAAAACAGCAAAAAAACTTTTAAAGCGCCACATCTGCCTCTCTTACTTGTATCATACACTAGATACGAGTGAAAAGGTTATACTCTTCTTAAAAGCATATTCGCGTAGAGAGCATATTGTTATAAAGCATAATATAAGGAATAAAAAAATATTCCAAATTTGAATAGACCTCTTAAAATATTAACAAGTCAACAGCATTTGGCGCAACAGTGCACGGAAGAAAACACAAACTCCTTGATAAACCCAAGGAAATTGAAAATAACAGCAACAATATTTTTGCAAAATGGTCCATATTCCTTTTCTGTAAAAAATTAAACTTTTGGTATTTCATTTAAATTAAACGAAAAAATAATCTATATTTACTTTATATAGATTTTTGCGAAAGTAAAAAACGTGACTTTAAATATTATAAATTAAAACTAATAAATAAAGTACTTTTAAAGAAAAGAAAGTATATAATCAATTTATTTAAAAAATGTATCTTTTTAAATATAATTTTCATTAAAAAACGTGCCATGAAAATTAATTTTCTCATTTTTAAGACACCCTGAATAATAGATCACTTTTTACGCCTATAATTTTACCTAATATTACCAATTTTATAAAAAATATTATTAGCATACATATTTTTTAAATTATTTACTGAAAAAAAAAATGACCTAAAAGTAGTTTATCTTTATAAAAAATACTTACCGCTTAAACAGAGGGACATAAATTATAAAAACAAACACGATCCAAATTAAAATAATACCATAACATGCCGTTTGCATCAGAATAGTCATTAACGCATGCTTAAAGTTATTAATGAGATCACCCAACGTTGCCGCAGTTATCGGATCTCATCATATCGATAATATACCAATAATCTAGAACCTGCCGACGCGCCACCTAGAACGATAAAGCTGAACCCAAAGTGAATAAAATCGTAGAGAATAGGCAAAGATGAGTTCCGACAAAAAAAATTTAAGTCGACAAATTATGGTTAGTTATAAGTATTGGGGACGTTTAACCACACAAAACAAGATGAGATCCAAAATCGGAGCTCGCCTTTCAAAACGGATCTCGAAGTGTACATCATTTATACAAAAATGATCTCGGCTTTACCCAAAACATATGTATATATATATATATATATATATATATATATATATATATACATACCGGATGTCCCAGATTTTTTTGCCCAGCGGATATCTCGGTTATTTAATGATATAAAATTGCAAAAAAAAATATGAATAATATTTGTCTAGTAGCCTTTTAAATTCCACTACATAAAGTTATATTCATCAATCCACCCCATAGGAACAACCCCTAACTTTTTTTTTTTCAAATGTCACCCCTATATTTTTTTTCGCTGATATAAATACTCAATTTGTCCCGAATGCAACGATATGATATTTGATATACTTTACAGAGTCATAAAGCCGGTAAAGACT